GGTATGGGACGGTAACATACTAGGGACGGTTTAGCTCAAAACGCATGAACCTAACCTAATGGATTAATGGAATGGATTGAAAGATATCGAATCCTAATTATGACTAAGTCAGATCAGCTGTAACCAAGTTGGATGACTTCCTGGATTAACGGATGGTAGTTAAGTCATATCAACTGAATAAGTTGAGTGACTAACTAGTTGGTTTATTGTATGTCAGTTTAATAAATAGTTGAACTGCATACCTTGGATTTGGACGGACTTTATATATATGTTTATGGTACCACGAGTTGAGCTTGAGTCTCAGACTCGTTGGTTAGGGTGCGTATATGCAGTGGATGCGTAGCTGGCTATAATAGGTTGAGGTGTACCCTGTTAGGTCTAGGTACTCATGCCCACCTTTGGGTGCGTTTTTGCATGTTGCCTTCTATTCAGGTTGAAACCCCCTACATAGTCCAGTGAATGTCCCTTAGTGTGGATATTTATATATGTATGGACTAGATAGCTATTGCTGAGATGCCTAGGGTGTATCTGCGTATCGGGTCACTGTCTGGATTGCAGTTAGGATAGAACTTGCACGTGGGCCTGACCCACTCTTATTTTTACAGGTGTTCGTCAGTTCCAGGCTTAGAGCTTGATCGTGCTGAGCAGATACAGTTATTCACTCCACCGACGACGTAGGAGTATTTTCTTCTCATTATGATCGTTGGTTGTCTTTGCAGTTGTTCATGTTCAGTATTGGAATATTTTTAGTAGGGGTCCACGAGATGGATTCCCGAGTTGTATTAGAAGTAAAGGAGAAGTTGGTGTATTCAAACTAGTTCTTGCATATAAAGTTTATTCGGAGGTTTTTTTTCCATTAAAGGATTTTCATTTTAGTTCTTTTCAGCAAAATTTTATTTATTCCTGTTTCCTATATTGTATTCTGTGTTCGTTAAATTGCTAATTGATTTGATATCCTTGGGTTATCGGGCGTGGGCCTGGCCAACCCGCATCCGAAAATCCGGGGGTATCACAGTCCATTACTACTATCCATATCCAACTCTATTAAAAATAAAATAAACAGTTAAATCATTTAATTCTAACAATTTATTTCAAATAAATAGAAATCATTTAAGCAAGCAAGTTCAATTAATAAACTAAATAAAACGCCATTTAAACACATAATCTAAAATAAACAAACAATTCAAATAAGCACATAACAATTAGCCACGTAATCAAATAATCAATTAAAATGCAATAAAATAATAAATAAATCTTGAGACTATCCTTTGAAAATTAGGGGTATTACACCTAGCTTCATGAGTTGAGAACACTAACCCTAAAATCTTAGAGAGAGAAAATATTTTATTGTCTTCCAAAAATATTGCAGAAAGGCGTAAACTAAAATATACATGGACCCCGTGTATATATAGGCAAAATAAAAATAATAATTGAAGACAATATATTTTTCTCAATCTCTAAAATTCACGTGATATCTCAAATCTAATGGGCCTCCAATATCAAGTTGGGCTATGAGTGAGAATTTTTTGGGCTTATTATTTTCTTGGTTACAATGAATTAATAATTAACCCGGTCCATTATACCATGGACGCAATTTAATTAATTAATAAATCAATTTCTACTCCACTAAAAAAAATTAATTGAACTCCAATTAAATAATAAATAACCTCTAAGTCAATATTGCATTTTGACCCCTCTATGCATAATTAGTTATCGGATAAATAAAGCTATTAATCTGACTACTAAAATAGTATATTTATTTTGGTACCTTTGATTATATCTGACTTGATCACAATAAAAATTTATTTGACAAAAGTAAATAAATATATAGATATTCATTTTATCTAAAACACATGAAGGCCTTCGAATTTTCATTGTGATCAACCATAATCAATACAAAAATAAATACAAGTAGTAATGATGCAAATGTTGAGAATATAACCCTCTAACTATTAATTACATAATTACCTAAAATGCTGATTTTTGGATTCCGAAGAATCTGCCAAACAAATTAAAGTAATTACTAATTAATAAAAAAGTTTATACTTCTCTCATGTTTAAGAGTCAAATGACATGACAGTGATAGGGAGCAATTGCATACGACAACTCTCGTAATATATCTTAACCTAATGCGGATCCGATTCAAGGCTTAGTTAATTAAGAGTCCTCTATAATTACCAACTATGAGCTATTTATGTTCATGTATTGATCGTCATTACATACATATAAATATCTCTTGCAATCAAGTGGACACTATCAATTTCATAATGAATCGAAATATAATATATTGAATTCACCAATAATGTAAAGCATAAATATTTCAGATATGTTAGGAGCATATGTCACTTTAATCTAAATAGGAATTCACTATGCTAGGGCATGTTATTGGTAATTTCGTTGTTAAGTTGTGAATGCCTGCCTTACAACCACATTGTGATTCTTGAAATTGCTAGCAGTATATACGAACTAGTAAGTAAGAAGCTTGATCCCTGAGGGTTTGAACTTGCCTTCTTAATATCTACTTTTATGATTACGGAGTAGGTTAGTGCACCATCTACCCGGCATAGTTTTGTTCACCCTATCATTTTTTAGGTTTGGAGCTTGCTAAGAGTGGTGCCTAGACATTATTTAGAAGAGAAACATGTTTCATTTTGTAATTTCTTTATCCTCAATGTAATTTGAAATAATGTATCCCTAGAAGATGGACTTAATTGGGCTTTAAAGAACTTGGTTCGTTCTAGCTTTGAGCTCTGTCAGAAATGGCACGTTGTTCACCAGAAAGTTTTTATTCTCGCTGATACTGGAGTTGCAAGCAACATGGTCACCAAAGTGGGTTCACCGTCACTGGAGTTTCAAGCTGATTATAAGCTTGAAGCTCGTTGGTTTGATGAAGGAGGACAGCCCCAATGGGGTATATTTGTAATTAAAAAAAAAAATTTTAAGTTTTAAATTTAATATTAAATAGTAAGGTCAAAATTGTCATTTTATAACCTGGTTAACGAGTCGGATACGGATACTAGGGCAATGTGATGACTTTTTAAAGTGTTGGAATTTTTTGAAATAGATTGAGAGTTTATTATCAAAATTTAAAAGTATTGGAGATGTTATGGAATTAGCCTATTATTAATGAAAACGATGGGCCGGATACTACGTGGTAGTAGTCAGTATTAAAACGAGGCAATAAGAAGGAAATCGCCGCATATCCCGCATCTCTTCACTCGGAAAATCACCTCTAGTGAAATAGTAACCCATTTGCTCCATTTTGGAATAAGTGGAGGAGAATTGGTCACATCAATTAAAAATACTGAGTAACTAAATTTTCATCACCCTTGTTTTTCATATATAAAACCTTTAAATATTGTATTCCATATATATAAACGCATTTAAATATTATATCCAAAATACGCCATCTTCTTCTAAAATACGTCGTCTTCTTCCTTTCTCCCTCGAAAAGCTTCATCAGCTTCCATTAATGGACTCTCCAAGGACTTACAACAACTTTTGAACTTTAAAATTTCACTTTAAAACCCAAATACACTCCAAAAACCCATGTAATTATGCGCCGTAGTCTTCCTTTTTCTCTCTAAAAGCTTCATCAGCTTCCATTAATGGACTTTCCAAGGACTCACAGTAACTTTTGAACTTCAAAGCTTCACTTCCAAACCCAAACACACTCCAAAAACCCATGTAATTTCACTGGGTTATTATGCAGAAACTCCAGAGTATCATCCATAGATATAAGCTTTGTTTAACTAAATCTCGATTTTGGGTCTGTTTTTTCTTATCTGATTAAAGAACACAAACATGACTGGTTCACACTCCCGTTAGTAGAATTTTGTTGGGATTTTACGTATAACATAAGCATGAAATATAGTTAGTACTGCTTGGGATACAAAATACGTATTGCTTGGGATGTTAAGTATGATTATGTTGGGATGTTACGTACAACTTATACTAACTTAAATTATAAATTGTTGGGATGCTATGTACGTATTACTTGGGATGTTAAGTAGGATTATGTTGAGATGTTACGTACAAATTATACTGAGTTAAATTATAAACTGTTGGGATGTTATGTACAAATAATCTATTAGGATTATGTTGGAATGTTTCGTACAACTTATATTGACTTAAATTACAAACTATTTAAGATGTTATGCAGTACACAAATAATTAAACAAAAAAACCATGCTAGTCCAGATGTTGCTTTATTCCAATATTGCTATGTTTATTTGGAATAAAATGACCTAGTATACGAAGAAAGGAAAGTAAAAATTTATAGAAACAAATGAATGGAGAAATAGATATGAGAAATTTATGAAAACGAAGGAATTGAGAAATAGATGTATGATTTGTTTGTGATTCGTTTTGGAAACAAATTAAAGAGAATTATCGAGATTTGAAAGAAGAAGAAGATAATAAGTAAAAAATGATCTCTTTCTCTCTCCAACTTTCTCTCTCTCTCTAAAACATTTGGGCAAATCTAAGCAACTGGCGGGATTTGGGTTGATTGATATTTTTTGTGAAAATTAACAAAAGACTCACAACAAACAATATTTTGGAAAGAAATCAAAATTTGGGTTGCTGAAATAGCGAGATTTTGGAAAGAAATCAAAATCAATATTTTGGGAGAGAAGAAAATGGCGGGATTTGAGTTGCTGAAAATAAGGGAGCGAAGAAGAAATAGTATTTATGAACAATGTACACACACATATATATATATACATATATATATGAAAATTGTATATAAAACAAATAAATATGTTTACCCATCTTAATAACTACCTGTTCATTAACAAAAATGAAAGAAGTATGCTTACTATAGGACTAGAGGTTATCCTGGTCCTTTTCACTCTTCCACAATCACAATTGGACAAAATGTTCGGTGGGTGAGAGAATAGTCTTAGGCTTATCTTACTTGCACTATACACACCAACCAACCATTTGTTAAACAATTAAACAAATAGTTATGCACACCACACCAATTGATGAAACTCCAACTTCGTATTTACCGAGAATATTTATGTACTAGTATTACAACAATGCAGTTAACAATGAAGTAGTAGTATTAGCTGCATGTTTTTTCAAACTTCCACTGAAATCATTAATCTAGTACAAGAATGTCTGTATGGATATAGCGATTACCAAGAAAAATGAAATGAAAAAAGATAATTATAATATAATAATAAACAGCGACAAAACTTGAGAAGAATGCCAATTAGTTCACTAGCATCCAATTGTAAGCTTCATTTCTCTTTCAATTTCTTAGTTATGGCAAAGACAGCCCCGGCCACAGCGACGATGATCCCAGAAACAATAATGGCAGACTTGAGCGTTTGCAGCACATCCTTCTTTTCCCTCTCTTTCTTTTTCGCCGCTTCACTTTGCTCCTTCAAGTTCAGTTAAACATTTTTATCATTATCAGAAAAACACCAAATTGTGAATTAGCATATAGCATAACATGTTTTTTTTAGACTATTGCATCATCGTTCACATCATCGTCAACAATTTGAGAATTATGGTTCATTGTAGTGTTTTATGCAAGGTGTATCTTCGACATCGGGTTAACCCATAATTATTTTTCTTGCATTAGTAAGGCATCGTTTTTCTGTTGACTACAATTATTATCCTTTAGAGAGTTGAGAGTGACGGAAATTAATTGCTTTTCAAATTTTTAGATGCCATTAGGAAATATATTGAACATAGTAGTTCATTGACTAATGTTAAGTGAAATTTCATATATATATATATATTTTCTGGTATTGTTGAGCTGTGGCTCAAATTTTATTTGTCTGATTCAGTTTTGAAAAGTTTATGATCTGTTTTTGGTTTTATAGGTATTGAATACGCATTATTGTCTCTATTGTAACTCGGTATAGAAAGGTGTCAAGGTTTTTATTGTGCACAAATAACAGTGAGAGAAAGACTTGTAATTTCCGTTTTTCTCCTGATCATTTCTTCAACGTAACGCAAGTTCTAAGTTAGATTTTTTTTTTTTGTTTTGTTTTATGTGGTGTGTGATTTTTCTTTCATGTCACTTCTTGATTATATTTGTGCTTTGCTGGTATTTGCCATAATAAGTATCACGATAAATCTCCACCCTTTAGGTAGGAGTGTTCTCCGGGAGTACTCCTCCTCAATGCACACATAATCCTGTGAAAGCTGGCATCAAGGAAAGGAAGACGGACCATTTGCCGCCCCTTCCGAAAAGAATGGTCCTAGACCAACCGTTTATAACCCCTAGGGAATTTAACCATCGGCTAGTTGTTCAATAAAAAAGTTTTTTGTTTTTTTGTTTTTTTGTTTTTTTTTTTTTTCCAGTAATATGAAGAAGTAAAACGTTTACCAAAATGTACCTTAATCTCGTTTGAGGTTGCCACTTGGGACGAAATGGGATCAAACTCAAAATCCTTGTTCCGGTCAGGATTCAAATCTTTATCTACGTCGGCAGCCGGAGATGTCTGATCAGAGCCGTCTGCAATTCCATTTGCTTCCTCCGTGCTTGCCATTTCCTCGAACAGAAAAGCTTTGCCTTCACGTATTGTTTTTTGCAGAGGTAGAGAGTAAAGATGGGGCTTTCAAAATCGTGTACAAATAATACTTCACCTATACGTGTGACGTGTCAGTATCCCTAAAAGGTTACTATTTGGACGAAAAAATAGGGCTCTCAGAGGCTCCCCATTTCTTGCTTTCAACTGCCCGCAAAAACTGTTGGAATTAATTAACCATGTCCAAATACTAAAATTACACTCCACCAGTCACCTCACAACAAGCCACATCTGCCATAGTGCCGTTAGTTTTTCCATCATTTACTTGTTACCGGACGTCCACAAATTTCTTGTCAAAGGGCGGTTGTCCTCGCCTACTTCATTTGATTAGGAGAATGTAGAAGAAAATGAGACCTTGCCATCTAAGCAGAGAAATGAAATGGTGAGTATTTTAAATTAGGCCAAATTAGTACTTGTGCACTTAGAGGTCACTAGCTAGTGTTTGTCCATCTATTTAGGATACTGGAAGGATGATCGAAGTACAATGGCTATATATGGAAGTGAAGACTGATTTCAATTTTAAACTCCAACTAGAATTTCTCATGTTTAATAACCTGAACATTTACTACTGTATTGTCATATAAGAGACATAAAGCATAGGACACACTAACAACAACCTATTCATAAAATTTGCATGGTTAAGTATGGATGTCAAATAAAAACAGGGAGGAACTTCCTCCCACCCCAGCTAAAAGAATGAAAGAACTAGAAACATAAGATTGAAGTTAATAACAAGCATAAGATTTGAATTCAGATCTGGTAACCGTTGACCTATGAGTTCCCACAGCTGTATGACCTGTGTCCATTGAAGTTAATTTCTCAATTCCTGGCCCCAAAACCACGAGGACTTGGCCTTCCCGATGCCGAGTCTGCAAACTGCCTCCTTGATTCTGATCTTCTCTTCCTCCTTGCAGTACCTGGAGGAGCCTGAGGTAGGGAGGAAAAATCATTTTACTTTGTCAGCCCAAACTGATGTAGCAGAGAAGAAGACAAGAGGAGAAGATCAGGTAGAAGAAGAAGAGGAATTAGGAGAGAATTCTCAATCTCAATAATCAATAATAATCAAAATCTGTCCGACTCATATATCAAGCGAACAAACATTAAAATACTATAGGCACTGAAATAAACTCTAATCAAACACTACTACCAAATAAACCTTAAAATTTGAAAATACGAATATAATTGCAAATTTTAATGTTCCAATATATATGTTTAACACTAACTTCATCAAAATTTCTAATTTTATCTTTCTCTTTCCTTTCTCCAAAAGTAAAAGTGAATCAATTACGTGCGGCTCATGCTTTCGGGTGGCATATCTTTCTCCATCACCAAGTTACTTCCATAATACCGTAAAGATAGCAAACCCAGGTCAGCAAATCAAAAATATAAAGTTTGAAGTTACTCCAATTTACTCCTGTAAAACCGTAAAGATAGCAAACCCAGGTTGGCATATCAGAAATAGCATTAAAGTTTGAAATTGCTCCAAGTTAGTCCTATAAAAACTGTAAAGATAGCAAACCCAGGTCAGCAAGTCAGAAATAGCATTTAAGTTTGACGTTACTCCCATAAAACCATAAAGACAACAAAACCAGTTCAGCAAATCAGAAATATGAAGTTCGAAAGTTCCAGAATTGCAATCCAAAACAAAGAGATAACTCGGGGACATACGACAAACTTCCATAAGTTATTTGTGTCAATTCCATTTCCATTGCCTCCAAAAGTAATTTACCCGCAGTAGTAGAATGGCTAAATCAGTTTCCATAAATCGAACAATTTTTAAAGATCTGTTTTTTTTTTTGGTTTTTTTTTTGAAGAGTTATCCTTGTAACAAGAGTGAAATGGTGTGGAGTTGACCTGAAACACCTTATTAGCTGATAAGGGATGTGGGTACAAACTATGGAAATGGCATAAAAAAAGGATACTTTTATCCCCCCTCCAGTGCCTCCACCCCTATAGGAGGAACAGGGGCCATAAAAGAGAAATTAAAATATTCATTTTTGAAGGCAACAGTTCAGAGGTTGAATTCCTACCATCATCTTTTTCCGCCTCATTTAAATAGTGATTTAGAAAAACAGGGAAAGAATTGGTGAAATATATTTCTTATTTTAGACAATGCACGACACAACAGAAACGAGGGAGTGCCTAAAAATGATTCCCCCATACCTGAAGGAATCATTGAACTTGGTACCACGTAAAAAACCTTCACTGAACACATTTATTGAGATAGATGTTTTATTCCCTTAAATTTGACTCCAATCATCCTTGCGACAAATAAATGAATGTCGGAATTGGACGCAAAAATGCATATTCATGAACTTTGCTAAATACGTATAGAGTGGCACCTATACATGCAATGAGAACATAAAGCATAGGAAGGCACCTTTTGTTCAGATTTAAGTGCCTCCTCAAGATTGTTCAGTGCAGGAATTGATCCACCTTCCATTACACCCATTAGATTCTTCATACGAATGCGCATTTGAAAAAGTTGAGCGACAAGTTGACTCACCTAATTGGTGTGATAAAAATAAATATCATTGGAAAAATATAAGAAAATATCGACTTGTCATGCTAAAAAAGGAGAAAGAAATAACATTTACAATACCAATCTATAAGTTCTATAACTTTAAATCACCATTCACCCCCTAACCTACATACCTGCTGCTCTGTTTTCCCAGACTCTTGGGCAACTCGCTTCCTCCTGGCAGGGGATTCTGCCAAGAGTTCAGGTTTTTCCCTTTCCTCTGTAAGCAAACAAGTGAATCAGAAGCATTTCACATGGAACAGTATTAATGTTGACGAAAAAAAACACCAAAACATAAAAGAAAGATAATTGAATTAAATAAAAACAAGTACGACTGCAAATAAATCGAGTTGGTCATGAACAGGTCGGGCTTGGCTCATTCAAAGCTCAGCTCCAGCGCGTCCGTTAAGCGAATGAGCTGAGCTTGAGCCAGATTTCTAAGTTCGTTTAACAAACGAGCAGATCAGAACATCATTAGCAGCCCTAAAAACAAGTGTTGCTCACATTTCGGATAGAGAAAACTCATCAGTCATCTCAGTTTGAGAACAACCCTCATAACTACACCCAGAGCTAGTCTTTATTTAATCAGATAGTGTTCACGACAAAAGATACAGATATAGAAAATGCAGCTTAAATGTGGATATTCAAGAAAAGTAAAAACAAAAGCATATTAAAATTTCATCAGAAGCACCAGAGGAAGGTTCAAAAGCCAACCAAATGTAGTTTAAAGCTGGAAAATATAATAAATACACATCTTTGAAGAGCAGAGGCATTTACAATGCTGCTCTAGTTTAGCACATTCAAGGGGTACAAAATTGCATAATTTGGCAAGAACCTAAACACGAAAAATAAAATTGGGAGGAAAAGTGCAAAGAAAGAGTGATTATAAGCAGAAATTAAACAGCAACCATCTTTTTACAATGACATGCATTGAAAACAAGGTATTATAGCTACATGTTATCTGATAGGATCCTTAATAGAGAACCTTAATATGGATGACCCGAGGCACAGGAAAGATGATATAGAAGGACTACTGCCATTTATGTGATATCTCATGTTCAGATTCATCACCTTTTCCTGACATCAATCATAATATTAACCTGCAGTCAAAAGGCCCCTCGGGTAGATACTAATGATGTTATCTTAGACACCCCTACTAAATTGCTCCATGGGATTACCCCCTGTTCTTTTCCTTGTCTGCCAGCTTCTGCTAGCCATTTCGTACAAAGGAAGAACATAGGATATGTAACTTTCACGGTACATAAAAGTTTAACAAGCATACTGTTAGCAGATCTGATAGCCACGATTTATGGAATGACTTACCATATTAGCAGAGATTTGATAGCCACGAATCATGGCATAGAATATGTTGTGATTTGATTTAGATTTGATTTAATTTCCTTTCTTGTAATATAAGCATGTGCTCTTTTTATCTATAAATACTAGAGATGTGAATGAGTGAATTATCTCATTCAAGCCTTTACATAATTCTCTCATTTCTCTTCTCCTTCTTCTATATTGTATTTCTACTCGTACATACAGCAATGTGGTTCTCTCTCTATGTCCCTTTCTACTGGTGGATTTATGAATTTTCTAAGGTATCTTCCTGCTCTTCATTTCTTATCTTTTACTTCCTCCAAATAACCATAACCATCTCCATCTCCATTTCATCTCTTCAGTGTCATTTCCCTTTCCTTATTCCTCAAAGTTGCCATTGTCTGCTTTTGCCTTGACTTTGGTCTCTTCTTCACCTCTCATCTTTATAGTACTCTCTTTTCTTAACCCTTTCCATTTTCTATTCTAAACAACTTCTGCCCAATTCCTTTCTCTCTGAATAAAACCTTGTAGTTTGTTGTTGTGCCCATGCACAATGACATTGTATATATGCTTCTCTTTCAGATTGAAAACAAAACAAACTTTGATCCCATGGATTGGTTCTGTGCCTCATCATGGCATAATTTTCACATTGGAGTTTTCAACTAATCTGCTACAAACTCGAGAAAATGTGGCTACCCAAGTTTTGGCTTAGGTTCAAATTGGAAACAGAGAAATGAACCCAAATTAGAACAAAAAGACCATCACAATAGCCAAACATTTAAACAGCAGGGCATATCAGAAAATTATTTGACATTTACTTCACTGCACCTACTTTTTGTTTTCCCTCCCATATATCCTGTTATTATCCCTGTTTTTTTTTTTTTTTTCAGAGCGTTACTGTCTAGCTTTCTGTTTCATTATTTATTATCATTCCATCTGTTTCCCTTCTTTTCTCAGTTCTTTCTCCATACTGTCTTCTGGTTTTTTTTTTTATTTTTCTGTTTAATTTTTTCCCTTTCTTTCTTTTTTTTTTCCCCTCCTAATTTTACCCTTTTCTCATATCATCCTTTGCAAGATGTATTGCCTTTTCTTACCTCTTTTATCATGTGTAATAATCAGGAAATCAAAAAAGAAGGAGAAAAAGAATAATAATAACCATGAAATGATTAAAAAGCCTAATTCTAATCCCAGCTGCTAGTATCACAGGTCCTAAATGCTCAGTAGCCAGATTCATTGGTGTAAACAATGCAGTATTGCACCCAACCAGTACATAATGCACCTTCTTCACATGGACTTTTGAAGTTTACACTGATAGTGAATATATGTAAAATGTAAATATGTAAGTCAACAATGGGTTCTGAAACTAGAAAATACAAAACAAGCAAAAAGGAAGTTTCATAAAGTACAAAGAAATAGTAGCAATAGCAGTGGAAAGCATGCTGGCCAAATTATTTCAATTCCAATAAAGGAGGCAGCATATGCCTAGGGGGGTGCAGCTGCCCCCTGTGAATTTTCTTTCTTTCTTACATTATGTATATTTGTAAAATTTTACAATGCACCCCCCCCCCCCCCCCCCTCGATTTGCAAAATTATTAATCTGTACCCCACCTTTTTACTTTGCCAAAACCCAAAACTATCAAACTGTTCCCCCCTCTCTCTTAGATGATCGCTGGCTTAAATATACAATTCTTGACCTGATTGTTTTCAGTAATGTGATTGTAAAATATATGGTTTTGATATTTCAGTAATCTTGATACTTCATATTCTTTAATTTCCTTCATTTTCTAAGGAACTTGGGTATAAATGGGGTCCAGCTTTGTTTGAATTACAAGATGGGTTTGGTATTTCTGTAAAGTTCCTTTATTACATATTGTGGATCAGTAATTTTGATGTTTTGGCCCATGGGGGGAGGGTAGCGACATCCATTCTCCGTTTATTGTTTTGATTTGTTGATCTGCTCTTTCTTCTGTGAGTTTAATTAGTATTTAATACATGTTCTTCCTTTCTTCACTATTGTGGGCTGAAAGAGCAACACGACATTTAAGTCTGGATCTTCAAAATCTGGCGATAAAGGCCTCAACCATCTCACTAGGTAATTGGCTGAGTCTAGAAAGATCAGCCAATGTGGATTCTGATTCTGTTCGATAAAATTGAGTATGAAACAATTCTTCCTTTTCACAACTTGAGGTTCCTAGGCCAGACCCTCCAATGATCTTTCCTTTCAAGGATGTACGTTGGCTGTAAAGCACAAGACGGGATCACAAAGTAGACTAAATAGCGTGTGTGCTGCCCTTTCAATCCTTAGACTGTGGTCTGAGCCTTTCACGACAAAGGGATATTCAATCAAAACCAGAGTGAAGATACAGATTAAGAGAAAATGAAAGTCGAGATAAAGAGATATAGACTAATGAGTCAAAGGCAGGCTAAGATCCTATCTTTTCTGAAATGGTTGGAAGACAGTTCTCGCTTAGATTACTGATTTTCTATGGGGTCTGGGCTTTGTTTGAATTACAAGATGGGTTTGGTATTTCTGTAAAGTTCCTTTATTACGTATTGTGGATAAGTAATTTTGATATTTTGGCCCTTGGGGGGAGGGTAGCGACATCCATCCTCGGTTTATTGTTTTTATTTGTTGATCTGCTCTGTCTTCTGTGAGTTTAATTAGTCTTTAATACTTATTATTCCTTTCTTCACCATTGTGGGCTCAAAGAGTAACATGACATTGTAAGTCTGGCTCTTCTAAATCTGGCAATAAAGGCCTCAACCATCTCACTAGGTAATTGGCTAAGTCTAGAAAGATCAGCCAATGCGGACTCTGATTCTGTTCGATAAAACTGAATATGAAATGTCGCGTTGCCCTTTCATTCTAATGCAATCAGCTTATGAAAGAGAGAATTAAATCACTAAGAAGGGAAAACAGAGAGCAAGGTTAAGCTAACGAATAGCTTAAACACCCACAACTCAATCCCAAAGAAAGGGAGAGATAAAAAGCTGCTCTAGCAAGCTGATATTATTGATAATTCGTAAAAGGCTGCTCATTACAACCTGGAACAACCCTTTTATAAGCCACAAGGGATGCCCAAGCAAAGATATAATCCTAGCCCTTCAAATAAATGTAATATAAAGGCTAGTATTCTCTCCAGCAAAATAAAGAGCTAAAAATTACAAGACAGACCTTAAACAGTCACATGACTCACTTAAAAGGCACATGACTTATAAAATAAAACCAAATGACAATAATATCCTAAGCATGAAATAAAACAGATTAAAGACTTATAAATGACTCGAGGCTAAAAACAATAACATAATCGGACTCATCATCGGTTGCCCTATTCATGGAAATTTAGTCTATTTATGAAAACTCAGTCGTGTCTTCTTAGAGTGTTCAACTATTTGAAAATAGTATTCTTCCACTTGCTCTACATCAGACCCTCCAGGTGAGAGAAAATTCGACCTCGAGTTAGCATCATCCTCGCTCGAAGAGTCACCTTGATAAGCAATCAAATGACGAACATTGAACACATCGGATGTCTTGATGTGGTTGGGAAGCTTCAACCTGTATGCATTGTCGTTAATCCTTTCAAGTACTTCACACGGTCCAATCTTCCTTGCACTCAGCTTGTTGTACTCGCCAGCCGAATATCGATCTATGGTCAAAACAGCCCATACATAATCTCCCACATCAAAGATCACACTTCTTTTTTTTTCTTTCCCCTAAATGAAAGGAGTTTATATATAAAACAAAGTAGTGCATAGAAACATATGAGGACATGCCCTCATAAGGGAAACAAACCAAGTCCTAAAAAAAGGGCAAAAACAACATAGACTAAAAGCAACAGAAAATTACAAAATGTCCTGCAGGTTAACCCCCAACACATCAAGAACCTCCCATAGTATACTTTT